TAGTTTTCTGTATAGGTATATATATATTCTACTTTATAACCAAGATATAATGACTTAAGAGGAGAGTCATTTTCGTTCTATTAAATGTTAAGTTATTCAAATATTCAACATACTTTCTTGTCATATGTGTCTTATTTTTAGTGGGGGTGGTACAAAGGACACGTTGTTCTTGGAAGCGTCTGTGTCAGAAATGTGTAGGTGTGGCATCCTACGTCTAGAAAGACGTCATGATCATGTGACTCAGTTTAAAAAGAAAACTTGAGTAACCAGCCTAACAACCCTCATCATTTTGTCTGAGAATTAGCTTGCTTTACCTTGAGATATCAGGAAATGATTTGAAAAGTAACAGATATTGACGACCGCAGGTTACGTTGTAAGATCACCTTGTTACCCACGCTGAGCTCAAAGGTGACGCAACGAGCGTTGTTTGTCAGTTTATTTGTAGCTTTGCCAACAGAGTGATTTGAGAACAGGGAAATCCAAAGTCACTTAACCCGAAACATGGGGCATATCTCGACAATAAAACACATTTTGGGCACTAGACAACAAGTATGAACAACCAGAACAACTAGCATAGTGAACAATATCATGCGCCAGGGGCTGAACGTGAGACACAAGAAGCTCATCCATGGGTGTTGCGCAGACGCAGTACTGGAAGGTTTGTTTCGTGTATAGTACAAATAAACTGTTCCAATCAGAAACGTTATTTTTCATTTCTTTATAGTCCCGCGGTGGGACAGCGATAAATCTACGGACTTACAACGCTAAATCCGGTGTTCGATTCCCTGCGGTGAACACAGCAGAGTAAACCCTGCTCTGAAAGAAACAAGATTTCACACAGAATAAAATAATTCGTCATTAGGATTGTCCCGTAAAGTTCAACTGGTTTGGTTTATTTATTTATTTACCATCTTAAATCATTACGCTTTTGTTGGTAAAGTCAAGTATAAATAGGTATGTATAAAAGATTGTTTATTTGTTTGTTTTGAATTTCGCGCACAGCTACACGAGGGCTATCTGCGCTAGCCGTCCTTGAATTAGCAGTGTAAGAAGGCAGCTAGTCATCACTACCCACCGCCAACTCTTGGGCTACTCTTTTACCACCGAATAGTGTGATTGAGTGAAACATTATAACGCTCCCACGGCTGAAAGGACGAGCATGGTTGGCGTGACGGGGATTCGAACCCGCGACCCTCAGATTGCGAATCGAGCTCCTTAACCACCTGGCCATGCAGGGCTGTGTATAATTTTATTTGTTTGTTTGTTTGTAATTAAGCACAAAGCTACACAATGGGCAATCTATGCTCTGCCCACCACGAGTATCTAAACCCGGTTTCTAGCGTTGTAAGTTCGCAGACATACCGCTGTGCCACTGGGGGGCTTATTTTATATTGTTTGTTTGTTTGAAGTTAAGCACAAAGCTACACCATGGTCTATCTGTGCTCTGCCCACCACAGGTATCGAAACCGGGTTTCTAGCGTTGTAAGTCCGCAGACATACCAGTGGGGGCAGTATTTTATATCATAATTTATATATATATATTTTATCAACTTTTGTTTTAGGTTAATTTTTTTACTTTGAAAAGTAAAGCCTAGATCACAGAAAACAAGTTATTATGTCAAACAGAGACGACTCTGTTACCAAGTTTTGTATAACAGGGACTAAAAAAATAATTTCGCGTATATAGAAATAAGAATATTTTATTTAAACAAATGTTTATTGATAGATAGATCAATTAATAGCAGGCAATGAATTAATCAACCAAATAAACTTAAACGTAAGTTCAAAAGTACAAAGTTAATGTACATAGGACAAGTGTTTGGTAAATGTCCGAAATAATTTTTGCGTGTCACTTTTTTAATGCCCTCTGAACGCTGAGCTTAATAAATGTAAGTCAATAATTATTGCATAAATAATTCGTTTTTACTTTCGTATTAATCGATGGTAAATCCATTAATTAAATATTTAGTTTATTCTTTTGTTGACGTGCCTTTTTTTTTGTCCTTATTAAGTAACGTCTTAGTTTGAAACCTAAATATCCAATGAAATAATTATAAAACATGTGTATGGTCTCCTAGTACACTTTATAATTATGCTTGTATTTAGGTGAACAAAATATAACTTGGAAGTATGCGAAGAATGTTCCATTTGATGCAGACATGATTCGCCTTTCGCAGTTGAGAGCTAGTTTTGACCAAGAGGAGTCGACAGTCCCTGGGGTTTAATTTTATTAAGGGGTTAACACAAATAAGTGCATGTGCACGTGAACCGAAAAAAACTATGTCGTGAAACACTAGATACGTTACCCTTTGCTGATTCAGGGTAATAGGTCGTCACAGTGGCTGTTTTTCCGACTTTCTAAAAGTTCCAAAGTTTGTAACACAAGAGCATCAAACTCCCCAAGAATCGAGTTAATTGGTTACTAGGCCGATGAAGTTTCTACATGAATAGGCAGTGAGTTTTTTGTTGTTGTTTTTTTAAAGATTCAGTCTGGATGATTTCATGATTGAGAAAGCAAGATTTAACCTGAGAGATTACTAGACTGTAAAGTAGGGTCGTACTAAGGTAAATTAAATATTGAAACACTGTCTTCATTCTCTCGATAATTAATTATCTCTATCTGTTTACCTCCAGAAACTACAAGAAATATGCCATATTTTAGTTCAACATTCAAAAGCTTATTTTGTTTTCCAACTAGAAAATGTTATTAGTTTCGTTGAAAATTCTAAAGATGTCGCCCATGCTATTTAACTGTTATTTTTTTTTTACATTTTTGTTAGATATATTTTCAATAATAAATCGTTTTAACTACTAAACTCGAATGAAAGAACGTGACCAGAACAATAATCATATGTACCATTTTAAAGAACTCCGTTATTATTTATCTATACTTGTAAACGAATATATGAAAAACAACAACTAAATATTACGTCAGGTCTAATGAAGACATTAAGTATTATAATATTTAAACACGTCCCCCTTTTATTAATTTATTTAAAGGGGGCAAGTACAATATTGCCAAGCAGAAGCCAAGGGAAATAATGTAAAGATGCAACCAAGAAAAAGTATATCATTACTGTAACACACTAAGGAAATATTACTTATCAAGAATCTCGGTGTATTCCTTTGGACTTTTTTTGATATTCGTATATAAACTCAAACACAAATTACTTAATTTATATTTAAAGTCTAACAGCTTATCTGTGTTGTTCTGCGTCTCACTACTACTTAAATAACCCTTTGAAAACCTAGGATGAAAAGTACACTATTTGATATGATACGAGTTTTGTAAGTCGGGCGTGGCCTAGTAATTAGTGCGCTGCTTGTGATTCGGAATGTCCAAAGTCCGAGCCGGAATTTTGTTGGACGTGCTCAGTAGTTTCAGCTGTCAGCTCGTTATACAAGTGATAATCAGTTGCAGAGGGGAAGTTTGGGGGGGAGTATACAACTTTAAGTTCGAGAAAGTTCCCGGAAGTAGTTTACACGTTCCCTGAGTAAAATAATAGAAGTTACTAAATGTTGTCTCGGAAAGGTATATTTTAAAAATATGGCTAAATGTTTGTTTTCAAACTTGATATTTGCTTGTTTGTAGTTAAGCACAAAGCTACGCAACTAAGTGTGCTGTGCTCATCACGGGTATCGAAGCTCGGTTTCTACCCTTATAAGTCCACAAGGACTTGCCACCGTGCCACTGGGAGGAACCAGACTTGGGACGAGTTATCAGATACATCTGAATTTGTCGTGAACAATATCTTTGTATTGACAGTCTGAACAATAATATAAAACTACACATATGTTTATAAAGGAACTTTGAATAATATGATATGTTGAGGTGAATCGGCTTACATGCTTTGCTCTGTTATTACCTACATATTAGTCAGGAATAAGGACTTTGTTAATAAAAAATATCTCATTCAGTTGATACGAATCATATATACTCGGTTACAGATTAATCAGTAGATGCAAGATGCTGAACTTGAAAAAAAATATAATCACTCATGACGACGTTGGAAACGCCCATTTCATGTTAACTTAACCTCCAGCTCCTTTAACAAGTATCACTATAGTAACAGAATGCTTGATTACCTTACACAAGGGGGTGTCCTTCTGATACGCTTGATAAATCTTCTCATTATTTTTTGTACTCTTTATATGAAGTTATTCAAATATTATTTACATGCGATAAGTTGTATACCACAAAGGCCTTAAATATATAATTTTCTTTCTGTCACGGCCTAATAATAAAAATTAAGCTATTGAAGACTGATTGTTTAACTAAGCGCTTGTTACATCTGTTATCTAGTGTCTCCAATGGCATATATTATCCAATAGCATATATGGCTTATAAGAAATATACGTTAAGAGATAAATAGCTTTAGCTTCAAACATTAAAAACATCTGATAAAAAACACTTTTAATTTAAACTAAAGGTTTATTTTTTTCGCCACGGAAAGTAATACATTCTCATGCTATGCAAATATAGTAATTATGAAAAATTTAAGTTACAAATTGAGTTGTTGATAAAATAGATGATTACACAATATATTTGATAAAAAAAACTTGTTTTTACAATACAAATGAAAGTTACAAATTACACAAATTTTTAACGTTTGTTTAGCTTGTACACTTAATTTTATTTGTAATTCACACATTCACACAAGTATTAAACGTCAACACAATTAGTAACACTCAACACATGAGAGAACAATATAACAAATTATAAATGACGTCATCCTCTGCGTCACGTAATTCTATACAAAGAATGAGGTTAAAGTGGAAAGTTTTTTTTTTGGTATGATATAATATGTTTTAAACTACATTCACAATTTATAATAATTATTTTTTCTTTAACTAGCTTTGTGATTGGCTATAGTATAAAAAAAATAAGGGTCAATATTTTGGTGATATAAACATTTATATTTTTAAATGTAAAAATGGCCCCCAGTGGCACAGAGGCAAGTCTCTGGACTTATAATGCTAAAATTGGGTTTCGATACCTGTGGTGGGTACAGCACAAATAACCCATTCTGTAGCATTGCGCTTAACAACAAATAAACAGGAATGTAAAAATAGTTTTATTATATAACTCCACCAATATAATTACCAACAAAACTACTCAATTGTCTAAGATATTGTTGCGACAGACAAAAACTAAACTATATGCCAGTATGTAAACATGTACATATTTGTTTGTTGTTAAACGCAATGTTACACAATAGGCAATCGGTACTCAACAAACCGCGGGTATTGAAAACCGAGTTTTAGTGTTATAAGCCCTTAAACTTAAACCCCCGAGCCACCAGAGGTCATCAAATATGTAAATTTCCTTATTGAATTAGACACAATTCCCGGAGAGTGATTTATAAAGAACATATAGTGTCTCTGTCTTTATAGTGTCTGTATAGTGTCAGTGTCTCTGAAACACTAACAGTCGTTAATTTTCAATTTTCAATTTTGATTTATTGTTTATTATTATACTTTTATCATAAAGATTATTTTGCATCGTTAACTTAAAATATGTATTTAAGAATAACCTAAATCTTTTAAGCAGGTCAACCTCGTTCTGCTTTTGGGATTACGGCCGAAAATACATTTAACAACGAAACAATGAAACAATGCATTTTAAGCTTTATAAGTATAAATGTAATAAAACTATTTAATTAGTTATGCTGATGGGAAGGTTGATTTTGAACTTAGCCCTAAGTACATAGCTTACTCTGATCGGAAGTTATTATTTAGAATTTATTTAATAATGGGGGGAGGAGAGGGTAGAATAACGACACCTAGTGAATCAAAGTTGATTGAATATTTGACGATCTTGGTGTCATATCTCGTTGGGAAAGACAGCTTATTACTGATCCAGGTTAGTGTTATGATTGTCGTGAAACAGTTGTTTGTGCAGAAAAAGTATGAAAAGCAACTGTTTATATGGGGTAACAATTCGTATTTTTGCTATACAGCAGCGTTCTCTAAAAATATTAGTGTATTAAATATTTAATTAAAGTTAATCCATTTCTTACTCCAGCGTTTCCTAATCTTTTGTCGTCCACGTCCCTCCCTTTACTAAATATGTTTTCTTGCGCGCACCCCTCTTTTCTTTTTCTTAAATGAGTGACGAAATATAATAAACGAATACACAGTAAAATGCTATATGTGTTGTAGTAATTAATTACTACTTTCAATAATAAAAATGTATTATAATGCTTAATTTTACATTATTCCACAACTGGCTCCATCCTAGTCACTCGTGCCCCCAAGAGATCATTTGTGCCCCCTAGGGGGCGGGCCCCACACTGTAGGATTGTTTGTTTATTTCAAGTTAAGCACACAGCTACACAATGGGCTATCTGTGCTCTGTCCACAACGGGTATCGAAACCCGGTTTCTAGTGTTGTAAGTCCGCAGACATTCCGCTGTGTCACTGGGAGGCACACTGTAGGAAACTCTTCTTTAACACACGTGAATGTAGTATTATTTAGTAGCCAATTTAGCATCTGACAGCTAAATTTAATTACTAGAAAGTTAAATAGTCCCACATTCGCTTTCGAAAGGAAATATTGCAATGATACATTTTCATCTAAAAACTATTCTGATTCATTTTCTACGCCTAACGTCACTGGATAACAATTTCTATGATTGACCAACCTAACTTTGCTGATGAGAACTGACATTGTTGGGAACTGCAGTTTTCAGCTCGTTATGAAATGAGTTTTGTATCTGACGTGAGATTATGTCAACTTTCCGCAATTCAGCCCGAGAAAACGAGTAAGAAATCTGTTAATTTAACAAGAAAAATGAAAATATTCAAGTGTGTTTGCCTACTTTAAAACCACACCAATCAACATACGAAATCCCACTATATCTTTAATTTTCCTACGTGAAATAATGGTCAGATTTATATTTCCATGTTGTTGCTATACAAGATCCCGGAAGACGCGGTCAGATTTATATTTCCATGTTGTTGCTATACAAGATCCGGATAATGCAGTCAAGATTTATATTTATTAACACTATTTAACAATATAAAGTAAAAAGTGGCGCTTCTTACTAAGTGTCTAACTTGTTATTAAACTGAAAATCAAGGTCGGTTCTAACGATCACTTATGTACAAAATGTGTAGTTGAATAATATGAACTCGAAAATCAGTTTTTTTTTGTTTTTCAAAACTCTGAAAGGAAGTGAACCATACTTTTCTGTTATAATTTATATCAACTCGACTGTTAGGTGTAGTTGAATGAAAACGATTTTCATTTTGTGCTGCTGGTTGTTTTAAATTACGCTTCATTTTGTAGCGATCTGTCGGAGTTTTATCCTGTTTGGAAAGTTATGGCTTCATAGCTGAGACACGCTTCATTTTGTGGCGACCTGTTGAAGTTTTATTTCTTATTTGGTAAGTTATAATTTCTTAGCTAAGACACGCTTAATTTTGTGGCGACCTGTTGAAGTTTTATTTCTTATTTGGTAAGTTATAATTTCTTAGCTGAGACACGCTTCATTTTGTGGCGATCTGTTGAAGTTTTATTTCTTATTTGGCAAGTTATAATTTCTATGCTGAGACACGCTTCATTTTGTGGCGACCTGTTGAAGTTTTATCTTATTTGGTAAGTTATAGTTTTTTAGCTGAGATTCTGGATAGTACAGTGTTTGTTTGTTTGATTGTTTTAGCGCAAAGTTACACAACAAGCTACCTGCGCTCTGTCCACCACAGGGAATCGAACCCTGAATGCAAGACTCCCACTGGGGGAACGAGTAACACAATAGTTTGTAAAGTTAACATTGTAAGTCCTTAGACTTACCGCTATTCTACCGGAGGACCCGATGTTTAGATTTGGTGCCCTCTTTTAAGGCTTGAGTGAACATGTAACAGTGTGGAGGGGTGGGGTCGGTTAAGTCACGTACCCACCGTTTCTCTTTACTACTCCATTTGTGCTGTTATGAAAAGAAAAAGCTTAGTTTGAATATATATATAGATAGATAGATAGGCCCTACAAATTAATATTTGGTGAATTAGTTTACTGCTGGTTAAAAACAGCAACAACATATTTCAGTTTAACGCCGATGAATTTTTTCCTTAAACGTACGTAACGAGCACCGCAGACTTTGCCGTGACGGGCAACATTCAGTTCGTAGATAATCCCCACAAGATGACGCTCTTATCAGCGCTGGTAGTAAGGATTGAAAAATCGGTGGGATGCCAGCGAGCTTGAATTACCTTATCTTCATGTTCTGCTACTACAACGTTTGGAATTGGCTGAGAGAGATCACCTATTAAAGAATAAATATATATATATATAGATTACTTTAAGCACAAAACATAAACATCACATAAAAGCTCGTTCATATAATTGAAACTTGAGAATACGGAACAGTTGACTCTTCAGACTGCGAAACTTCTGCACCCCTTTAATCGACGTAAATTTGTTTGTTTTTAATTAAGCACAGAGTTACATAATGGGCTATTTGTGCTGAGTTCGTTGTAGACGCCCGGCATGGCCAGGTGGTTAGGGCGCTCGACTCGCAGTCTGAGAGTCCTGGGTTCGAATCCCCGTCACACCAAACATGCTTGCCCTTTCAGCCGTGGGGGCGTTATAATGTGACGGTCAATCCCACTATTCGTTGGTAAAAGAGTAGCCCAAGAGTTGGC